TGGAGTCATCACCTCCATAGTGAGACCTCATATGATATTATCACCTCTATGATGTACTTTGCCATCCTAGTATGGCACTGTAAGCTAAAGCACTGGACCCCAAGGTCGGTTTGAACCACAAAAGCAGTGGTTCAAACTCACCAGCTGCTCCTTGGAAACCCTATATACAGTCACTATGAGTTGGAACCAACTCGTTGGCACTTAACAACAACAGCAACATAATGTATCTTAAGAGTCCTTGTGTGGCACCGTAGGATAAGCACTGAACCACAAAGTAGGCTGAATGCAAGGTTGGCAGTTCAAACCCACCAGCTGCTCCCTGGAAATCCTATGCAGGGTCGCTATGAGTCTGAACCAATTTAACAGCTCTTAACAACAAAGGAGCACTGGTAGCGTAGTGGTTACGAATCAGGCTGCAAACCGTAAGGCCAGCAGTTCGAAACTACCAGCCGCTCCGCGGGAGAAAGACGAGACACTCTGCTCCTGTAAAGATTTACAGCCTCGGAAACCCTGTACAGGGTCGCTATGCGTCAGAACTGACTCGAAGGCACTTAACAACAACAACAAGAGCAACGTGATGTGATCTTATGTGATCTGATGTAATTATCCTGTGTTTTGTAAATCTTTACTTCTTTGTTAATGAGGCCAGATGCAATCTACATCTGGTTGTATCATGAGTCAATTTCTGAGATATAAAAGAGATTAAGCAAGCAAGTGGAGCTCAGAGGGACCTGCCCCCACCAAGAAAGCAGAGCAGAGAGTGGAGTGTATCCCTAGGAACCAGGGTCCCTGCACTGTGAAGCTCCTCGATCCAGAGGAAGACTGATGGCAAGACCCATGGAGATCTCCAAGGAAGGCTGGGCCTACAGCTGCTGAAAGGAGACCAGGAGCTTTTCCAGAGCTGACAGAGTGAAATCTCCCTCCCCCACCCCCCCAGAAGCAACCTTCTGAATTTGAACTTCTAACCTACTAAACTGTGAGAGAATAAATGTCTGTTTCTTAAAGTCATCCACTTTGGTATTCTGTTCGAGCAGCACTCAAAAAACTAAGATAGGTGTCAACTCCCAAGAAAGCACTCTTACCTCATGGTTTATGTCAGTTTATATGTTGCTATAGCAACCTGGCACCACTAACAGAGGCTCTCTTGGAATTGTGACATCCTGTCACCTGTCATCTCTGCGAGGCTGGAAGTGGGTCACGTTTTGCTCTGAATCTCCTTGTGCTTAGCAGGGTCTCAGTATGAATGTTTGTGGCAAAGTCATCCCTCACTGTGTAGTCAAGGAGTCTGCCAAGTGTTGGGCCACTCCAGAAAAAAGGAGTTTATGCATTCTGCAGCCATCTCAGGAAGGCCTGGTGGATATGAGGGCCCATGAAAACAGGAGATCATCTCCCCAGTTTCAGACTAGGGGAGCAGTGGTGGTCACTGCTTCTGGTAGCACACAGTCCCTGTGAGTCTGCTTAGACTGATTCTAAGTGGGGAGGGTGATGTGGCTCAGGCCAGGAAGGAGTTTCCCTGAGTCAGATTGAGAGACAATAAAGGAAACTACAGTGGGGAGATCACAGCCCCTTGTTGACCTGTGGGCACTTCCTGTGACAAATCTAGCTGACCACATGTCCAATCTGAGCTAGTCATCTAACCCAGCCATTTACCAAGTTCACACAGCCTAGGCTGCATTCATGGAGGTACAGTATTAGAGCAAAGGTCCTAAGGATCTTCTACCAATTTACCAAAAAAAAAAAGGGACATTGGCAGATAAGTGTGCTGGCAAGACAATAACCACTACTATAAAAACTCAAAAGGTTTTCATAGTCAAAGAAACATCTCTTTGATAGTTACCAGGGATGGGAAGGAAAGGGAAGGTATATTATTGGCTAGAGAGTAGGTACATGTTAACTTGAGTGCAATAATAAGAGTGAGGTCAGCAAACAATGATGGAGACAGGAAGAGACTAAGAGGAGTGTAAGAGTTAAAGGCAACAGAGGTACATACTGTTATATATTCAATACTACGGTAACAGTGATCTGTGGGTAGATACATGGCTAGACATGTATTTGGGAGGAAGAGTGGAAGTATACTCACAAATATACATAGGTTTGACAGAGGATATTTGTACATGGGTATTTACCTTTGCTTCATGAATGTGGTATGGCATTTGTTGTTGTTAAGTGCCATAGAGTCAATTCCGATCCATAGCAACCCTGTATAGGGTTTCAGAGGAGCAGCTGGTGAGCCTGAACTGCTGAACTTGCGGTTCATACCGACCTTGAAGTCCAGCGCCTGAACCCACAGCGCCACACTAGGACTCCATGGTATGGCATACAGGTGACAAAATTATGAAAACATGGACATAACCAGACACCCTGAGGAAATGAGTTGCTGGGCTTGGGGGCTCAGGATCCATGGTCTCTGAGGACGCTGATTGACCTATCATAGCCCGACAAGACTATGTGACATCCTACTTCTGGAGTCTTAAAATTTTGTGAGCAGCTGTCTAAAGTACAACTATTAGTCTCTCCCTGTCTGAAGGAAAGAAGAGTGAAGAACATTCAAAGATGCATGGAAATAATGAGTCCAGTGGACTCATGCATGGGTCAGGCAAACATCAGTCTCTGTGACCCTGAGACCAAAAGAATTAGATGGTGCCTGGCTGCCACTACCAACTGCTCTGAAAAGGGGTCACATCAGAAGGTCTTGTGGGACAAAACTCAAAATCATAATAAATCATTTTCTTTACTGGTTGAATAGAGACTGGTAGACTCCCTGACCCTAAATCGACCTTCAGATCTAGAAATGAACTTATTACCCCAGTGACTAAATTTTCAATCAAACAATAGACAGGTCTATAAAGGGACTAATAACACAGGGAGGGAGGTCCACACACCTTACAAAGATCAAAAGGGTTGCATTTACCCAAAAACAGTTCAGAAGAGTTAGGGAAGAGGTGGGATAAATGATGTTTCATTGAGGGGATTGCAGTCAATGAATGACATGAAGGAAAATGTGTATACATTGTTGACTAGTAACTGATCTGTTCTGTAAACATTCACCCAATTCACAATAGAAAGTATAAATGGGGGAGCATAATAAAGTATAAAATGATCTTGGGGTGGGGGAAAGACAGTGCTCCTGAGGAGTTGGGCCTCAAGAGAAGAAGGCAAACGGATTCATGGGAGAGTTTGGGTTAAGGCAGATTTTAGCTTCGGCAGACTCTGTGGGCCAACCACAGTGGCTCTCTGGATTGAGAGGGGTATTATATGTGAGGCATTGCACCACACCCTCTACAAGCAGACTCTTGCCCTCCCAGCTACCCTGCAGCAGAGGTGGTACAGGTATCACAGTTAAAAGAACCAAGACTCAGCAGAGTTACATAGCTTACCCAAAGACCACAGTCAATATGTTGTGAAGTGCTGTCGAGTCAGTTCCAACTTACAGCAAGCCTGTAGAAGATTTCCAAGGAGTGACTGACTAGTGGGTTTGAACTGCTGACCTTGCAGTTAGCAGTTCACTGCTTATCCTACAGTGCCATACCAGGGCTCTACAGCTAGTGTATGTTGTTAAGTACCATTGAGTCAGTTCCGACTGATAGCAACCCTGTGAAAGGTTTCCAAGGAGCTGCTGATGAGTTTGAACCACCAACCTTGTAGTTCAAACCAACCTTGCAGTCCAGTAAAAATTCAAACTTGGGATTGTGGACTGTGCAGTCTTATAGTAAGTCCCCATGTGTGAAAGGATCAAACTGAGTCTAAATGATCATCTATCAAAGGAGTTATAGGAACAAGCTTAATCAAAGCAGGAGGGGAGGTCCTAATTTTTACCTTGTATAAAAAATGTGTCCTGTCACCTACCTTGCAAGCTTGTTGTTGACTGAGCCATGCCAGTGATGGGTCCTTAAAACCTAAAGCATCAGTTTGCTTACCTGAAAATCAGGGTAATATTCTCTGCCTGAGAGTCTTTGAAGGGGTTGGCATTAGACCTGGCATGCAGGAAGCTGACTCTATGTGGCATCTGCTGATGTTTGTGTCACCAGTATTGATGAAGTACTCACAGCCCATCCATTCCTACCCAGTGGCCTGGCCCCACCTATTTCAGGGACCACTTCTGTGTTGTATCATTCTTGAAAGAGCTTTCCACAGAACAGTCAACTGTGAGGTCCTGCTCCTTCCCCTTACCTAATGTTTATACATTTATGAACTTTCCTGGTATTCCCTCATGGTGGGAGGCAGAAGCAGCAGATGGTATGAATGCTAATCTTTGAAAACTAGTGAAGAAGTTGGGAACATGACATGCAAAGGAGAGAACTGGGTTCTGGGTCGTATAATCTTGAATGACTCACCTCTGTGGTACAAAGAAGCTAAGTAACTTACCTAGAGTCACACAGAGGTGGAGCCAGGATTTAAACCTGTTTTATCTCTTCCTAAGGCCGATCTCTTCCTACACTCACCTGCCTCTGTATGTACACAGAAGATAGATAATCTTAGAATAAAAGAACTGTCTATACCACTTACCATTGGTAGCAGCAAAGAGTGTATCAAACTGGGAATCCAGACACCTGGGTTTTAGTGTTGTACTGCCATTTGCTTTGTGACTTTAGAGAAGCCACGTCACCTCTGTGGATACCAGAATCCATCTAAAAACAGGCATTGGGCAGATCAGTGGCCAACAAACATTTTGAGAGAGTATTTTAGGCTTTGCTATTTATACATTGCAACTACCCAACTCTGCTGTTGAAGCAAAAAACAATCATAAGCAATACATAAACAATGAATGGGGCTGTGTTTCAATAAAACTTTACTTACAAAATCAGACAACAAGCTGGATGTGCTGATCTCAGAATGTTCTTCATGAGCTAGTGTGTCTATCCATGATAGACAGAACCCAAGCTGTGGGTTAATCCCCAGTCTGCTGCATTGTGCTGGTCAAGAAATTGTGCTTGATCCCTGGAGGAAGCCAGAGGGGAATTTCAGTCTTTGGGTAACCAGTTCTATTTTTCTCTTTGTAGAATGCCGAGATGTATAAACTGTCTTCACAGCAATTCCATGAGGCAGCTTCGAAAATGGAGAACACCATAAAGCAAGAATTTCTTTATTATTCTTTGTCAACTTGCATGGTATTGGTGAAAATTCCCACATGTGGCTTGAAGCCTGCCACCACTTGCCTAATTTCAGATTTCTGTCATAACACAGTGAACCATCTTTTACTTGGTTCTTTCACCTGGATTGATGGCAGCCATTGGTCCTGTGTAATTGACCAAATTAGCACTCAACTCTTCACCTGCTCCTTGGTAAATTGAAGAGTGATTGAAGCAAACACAGAAAACGTACTCTTAGGGCCCTATCTCTGGTTAGTATAGGCTGTTTTTTGTTTTCTAGCTAGGAGTGGAGCTGGTGATCGAAAGTAGAGAATGGGGTGCACCTCTTCTCCACCCTCTGCTTTGTGGAGGTGTCTGCTAGAGCATTCCACCTTCTGCTTGCTTGATGCTAAGCATTTCTTGTATGTTGACACCAAGGTGTGGAGCTTGGCAAAACCTTGCCTGAGTTTCCAGATGGGTTCTCAGTGCCCATTCCTGGAGCATGGTTTGTACTGCGAGACACTTACCTGTGGTGCCCTGGATTATTCTTTGTCCCTGGGAGACTGAGCAGCAGAATGAGTGTCAAGATCCTCCCTGGGGTCTGCAATCAGATGGACCTGGGTTCAAACAATGGCCCTGCCATTATTGGTTATATACCTTAACATGAGTTACTTACCTCTCCGGTTCTCAGTTTTCTCATAGACAAAACAGAGAAAATACCTCTTCTAATGATTTAAGGGATGATTAAATGAGAAACTACATAGAAAGTAGAATACCAGTCATTGTTGTTGGTATTAGTGTGACTGTTAGTAATAATAACTGTCATTTGAACCATTTTTACAGCACATAGCTTGGCATAGATTAGAGCAAATTTTACCAATAAATTGCTTTTACAGAACACTTTGTTTTTCCCAAATGAATTAAACAGGAAACTGTAGAGTCAGAAGTTATTTTGTGTAAACATTGTTGGGAGGGAACCCTTTATAAGGAAATTTCTTGGATTTGCAAGTAACTAGAAGTTGTATTGTGAGTGCTGAAGAAATAAAGCCAACTGCTGTCAGCAGCAATAGTTCAGAGTTTTCTTCTAAGACAGTGGCATTCATTAATAACTTTTGAGTTAACCAAATGGCTACTTACATAGTAAACTAATAGTCTATGTACTCATTCAGTCATTTAACACACATGTACTGAGTGCATATTGTTTTCCAGACATCATTCTAGGCACTAAGGATGCAATGATAAATAAGGCAGCTTCCATCCGTACAACAAAGAGCTTATGGCATTTGGGGGATAATAAGCAATATTTTTTAATTAATTGCATAAGAAGCAATACCTAGTTGTTTAATTACAGTAACACATGCCAATAAAAAGAGTTTGAATTTCAACGGTTATGTCCCAAGGAACCTAACCGAGACTGAGAACTTAGGGAGGGCTTCTGTAAGGAAGTGACAGAAGAGTGGAAATTGGCCAGAGGAAGGAATGAACATTTCCAACGGAAGCTCAGCACCTTCACAGTCCTAAAGCAGGAAGGTAATTTAATGTTTTCAAGGAATAGAAAGGCCAGCATGACTGTTGTTGTTACGTGCCGTGGAGTTAATGAATGATGACACAGAAGCAATAAGAACACAAGAGCCAGAATAGTCAGGACTTTGTCACCCGTATTAGAGACTGTAGTTTGTTTGTTTGTTTAATGTTTTATTGTGAATAATGTGATAGTTTACATGGGAGAACATTAGTTTTACATTCATCCTATTGTATATCATTTCATTGCCATGGTTACAGTACCCTCCATGCATCATCAAACAACCTAAGGGTATACACTACAAGCCTGCCTCCCTGTAGTGAGCACACAGCCCCTCTCCCTCTCTGTGTCTGAAGTCCCCAGTTGTTCCATCTCTCCATGTCATCGTCTCTGCTTCCATCTCAGGCATCACTGCTTCTCTGGGTACTGTAGTTTTGTCCTTAAACCTACGGCCATCGAGTCCTTTCAGTCTCTGAGTGACCCAATAGGACAGAGTAGAACCGCTCCCTAAGGTTTCTGAGATGGTAAATCTTTACAGGAGTAGACAACTTCATCTTTCTTCTGTGGAGCCTGGGATGTTTGAACCACTGACCTTGTGGTTAGCAGTCCAATGCTTAACCCACAGTGCTACCGGGACTCCTTAATTTTATCCTCACTGTTGTTGCTGTTATGTGCCATTGAGTCGGTTCTGACTCATAGTGACCCACAATAGGATTTACAATGAGCAGCTGGTAGGTTTGAACCACTGTCCTGTGCTTATTCTACATTGTAACATTTCTTTTCTAATATATGCATTTAAGTTTATAAATTTCCCTATTGCTTAGCTTTAGCTACATATCCCACATGTTTTGATATATTTTATTGTAATTCATGCCAAGGTTTTTCTAATTTTTATTCTGAATTTCTACTTTGAAATGTATTGTTTAATTTTCAAAACTTTGGGAGTTTTCTAATTATTATTACTTTTGTAAATAATTTTTAGTTTAATTCCACTGTGATTAGGAAACTTTCTGTAAATGAAATCCCTTGACATTTGTCAAAATCTGCTTTAGGGCCCAATACATAACTTATTTTGGTAAACTTGAAAGAATGTGCACTTTGTCAGTGGTCAGTTTTGGCCAGTCATGTTCAAGTTTTCGATATCCTCAATGATTTATTTTATTGTTGATTTATCAGTTTTTGAGAAAGTGTTTGTGTTCAATATGATTGTGAATTTGTGTAGTCCTTTGCTTCTAATCAAGTTTTGTTTTCTATATCTTGAATCTATATTATTAGGTGTATACAAAGTAAAATTGCTCTGTAAGTCCTAGTATACAAAGGGGCTTCAAAAAGTTTGTGGAAAAATGAATTAGAAGATGATGCAATTATTCCATGAACTTTTTCAAGACCCCTTATATTGACCCTTTTATCGCTATGCAATTTTATTCTTTATCTTTGTGATGTTTCTTGTCTTGAAATCTACATTGACAATGGTAGTTACACCCTCTTTCCTTTGATTAGCATTTGCATGCTTTATCTTTTTTACTTTCAACCTTTTTATATTCTTGTTTGTAAAATATGCCTCCAATGGAAAGTATATAGTTAGGTTTGGTTTGGTTTTGAATCTGGCCTGACAACCTTCATTTGTAATTAAAGTGCTATTATATTTACACTTAATATAATTTATAATAGTTTATATCATTGTTGGTATTGCTAAGTGCTGTCAACTTGGTTCCAACAGCAGAGCTGCACCATCCTCATATCGTTGTTCTGTTTGCGCATGTTCTTCCTTTTGGTTTGCTAACCCCAGGTCTTTGCATGTTTCATTATAATACTTGACTTTATGATATGTTTTCTTCTTTGAGCGTCCCTTTGAAATTTTTGTTCAGCTCTTTTACTTCATCATTTTCCCCAATTACTTTAGCTTCTCTCCATTCAAGAGTAGTTTCAGAGTCTCTTCTGACATCGATTTTGGATTTTTCCTTCTTGACTGGCTTGTTAGTGACTTTTTGCTTTCTTCATGTATGACATTCTTGAAGTCATTCACAACTCTTATGGTCTTGGGTATTAGTGTCTAATGTACTAAGTCTGTTCTTGAGATGATCTGTAAATTCAGGGATAATACACTCAAGGTCTGATTTTGATCCTCGCGGACTTGTTTCAATTTTATTCAGCTTCAGCCTTAACTTGCCACATATGAGCAATTGATGGTTTGTTCCACAGCCTGTCCCTGGCCTTGTTTTAGCTAGATATTACAATATGCATCCATGAATTATTATAGGAGTCCTGGTATGGTGCATAGAACGATGCACTGGGCCGCAAGGTCTGTTTGAACCATAAGGTCAGAAGTTCAGACTAACCAGCTGCTTCTCAGAAACCCTGTACAGGGTCACTATGAGTCGGAACCAACTCCACAGCACTTAACAACAATATCTGTTAATACTTTTATCACTTCCCCAACAATTCTATGAGCTGAAAACTGCTTGAATATCATTTTCCCCTTCCTTTTGTGGAATCATTTTCAAACATATAATTTTGAATATATTTTAGACTCCATAAGACATCATCATCATTATTACTACTTTGTATTCATTATCTTTCATGTCTCTTTCCCTACATATTATTGGTCTTTTTTCTTGTTTTGTTGTTTTGTCCTTCATTCTTCCTGCAGTCAGTTTTTTTCTTTCTGAGATCATGGTCATTTTAATATAGAACTTCCTTTAGAATTTCTTTTAATTTAGGTCTACTCATTGAAAATTCTCACTGTTTTTGTTTGGGAATATCTGAATTTCACCTTCATTTTTGAAGGATGTACTTGTCATTATTTCAGTTCTTATTTGATGATATCTTTATGTTCTTATTTGATCTGTATTTTTCTCTTGAGAAGAATATTCCTATTACTCTTGTCAATATTGTTATTACTGCTTTTAGGTAATTTTTTTTTTTCTGTCTGCTTTTAAGACTTTCACTTTGTCTTTCGTTTTGAACAGTTTTACTTAGTTATAGATTTGCTTTTATTTCCTCCTGCTTGTGGTTTTTGTCTCGACGTCATTGAGCTTTGGGAAATTTCTCAGCTATTATTTCTTCAACTAAAATTTCACACCCTATTTTATTTTTCGGCTACAGATATTACTCTGCCTCCTATCATCTATTTTCTTTCTGTTTTCTTGGTTTTTGTTTCCATGCTGATTTTTCTGTAATCTCTGTGAATATATTAATAGTAGTTCTCTTAAAGTCTATGTCTTCTAATAACTGGTCATCTGATGATCTGTTTCTGCTGCCTTTTTTTTTTTTCTTTTTTCTTTTTTCTTTTGCCTTTGTCTTATTTCTTGGTACACCTAGTGATTCTTGATTGAATGCCAACACTGTGAATAGAAATTTCAGATATTTGTTCCTTGTTGGTGATCTGAATGAAGAGAGACCGCCTTACTCCCCATCAGGAACTGAGCTGACTGGAGGCTAGTTGCAGGTTTTGTAAAACTCAGCCTACTTCTGACTCGT